GCTGAGGGAGCGCCGCACTGTCAGAGGGTCAGTGCTGAGGGAGCGCCGCACTGTCAGAGGGTCAGTGCTGAAGGAGTGCCGCACTGTCGGAGGGTCAGTGCTGAGGGAGCGCTGCACTGTCAGAGGGTCAGTACTGAGGGAGAGCCGCACTGTCGGAGGGTCAGTGCTGAGGGAGCGCCGCACTGTCGGAGGGTCAGTGCTGAGGGAGTGCCGCACTATCGGAGGGTCAGTACTGAGGGAGCGCCGCACTGTCGGAGGGTCAGTGCTGAGGGAGTGCCGCACTGTCAGAGGATCAATACTGAGGGACACAAACTGTAATTACTGTAGAACTCTGCATGTCGTGCAGCATCCGTGGAGAGAAATCAGTTCACGTTTTGGGTCCAGTGACCTTTCAAGAATTGTCTGATTTCCGGAGTGCGGAGTTCTTTCGGGTTATTTTTGTCTAGTGCTGGGGGAGAGCTATGGAAACCTCACTCTTTCCGATAAAGCATGGGGGAGCTTTCGGAACTCCTGCGACCAACAAAGTTGTTTCATAGTTTCCTGGTCAACATTTAATCCTCAACCCACATCTTGAAAACATTGTCGTGGTTTGCATCATATTTACTGCACGCAAGCTAGATCCTGAAGTTTCCTGTGTTGATAACAGCGACTGCCCTGAAGTAAAAATGAGGCAGCTACTTCGGGACGTCCTGAGATTAATATTTGCAAGTTCCCCTTCCCACAGTCAGTCTGAGTTTAGTTCACAGCTCCCAGCATCTAGAGCAAATCCTACTCCATCCAGAGTTTCCGTTTCCTGTCACCTCAGTCCCACCCTTTTTTATTCAGACAATGAGCGAATGTAATGGGTTAGTTTTAAAATAGGTCTTTATTCAATCGGTATAACTGACGCATAGTCTATGAATAGTTGATAGTTCAGACTGTGATCGTCTTCAATGAGGAGCTTCTAACAAAGACCAGGCGAAACTCCAGATGCAGCGGGGTCCGGTTCATCCTCCGTCCTTCTCTAGCCGCTCAACCTTCGGAAATTTAGGCGCTGTCAGCAGCATTGTGAGTTCTCTCTCTATATTATGGCCCTCTGACTAGTCTTAATTTGATCTGATTCTCTACCTCTCCAGTATTTACTGCTGTCGATCTAAAGGTTTAAATAATCCGCTGTCACAACTATATATGCAGCCTACATTCAGGAAATTCGCCAAGTCCTGGGTTGGGTTACCTTTAGCAACGATCGTGTGATTGTTACTGCATTCGTACGTCTCTTGGTCTGTTGCAAGTCAATACTTTAAACTTGCACCAGTGATAGTCTGGAGTAGATGGAGCACTCGGGAGTGTTCGTATTGATACAGGCAGTAAATTATTGTCTGCAGATCCCAGCGCTAAACGTTTTAGAATGGGCACGGTTATTACCTCCTGAATACCTGCAGTTGCTTTCCCCTCCGAATACTAAACTCTGGTCTTTTGCGCAAAGTTTCGCGTTTTGTTTCACAAAAAGAGATTGAAAGGGAGAGGGAGGATTAGATGGTGTGTACATTTTTACGCCGAGATTTCTTTTCATGGGGCGCTTTGTTTGAAAATCCCCGGGCACAAGAAATGGTCTTTTTTCCCCAAAAATACAATCAGAATGGGACAGTCGGAAATTCCTCGTGTGCGTTAACTCCAACAGCGGATGTGGGAACTGCAAATTTGTCAGAAAGGTGTGCAGGGATTTTTAAACATTCAGACGTTGGGAAGGGTGGAGGTGGGGGGGGGGGGGGCGAGGTGTATAGTGAGACCGTTCGGCCCGTCATGTCAGTGCTGTGCTTTTGGAAGGACCCAAAGAACTGGAGATCGCAAACAAAAGAAAAAACAGAAATTGCTGGAAAAGCTCAGCAGCTCTGGCAGCATCAGTGAAGAGAAATCAGAGTTAACGTTTCGGGTCCGGTGAACCTTCCTGAGTTCTGAGCCCAGCAATTTCTGCTTCTGTTTCTGATTTATACAGCATCCGCAGTTCTTTCGGGTTTTTTAAACTGGAGATCTGAAACAAAAGCAGAAAGTGCTGGAGAAACTCAGCAGGTCTGGCAGTAGATGTTGTCAAAGGAAAACAAGAGTTAATGTTTTGAGTCCAGTTGTTACTAAGTGTCACCGGACTCCAAAGATAACTCTTCTTTTGTCTCCGCAGATGCTGCCGTCCCTTTGGAAAGAGTCCATTTAGTCCCACCAGTTTCGCTATTATAACCGGGGGAGGGTCCAATTCACTGGCAGCATTGGAATATCCATAGAGTCAAAGAGATCTACAGCACAGAAACAGGCCCTTCGGCCCACTGAGTCTGTGCCAGTCAAAAACTATCACCTAAATATTGTAGCGATAACAAGATGTAGAGCTGGATGAACACAGCAGGCCAAGCTGCATCAGAGGAGCGGGAAGGCTGACGTTTCGACTATGTAATCCCTTTTCCCAGCACCTGGCCCATGGCCTGGTATGGCTTGGCATCACAACTGCACATCTAAATACTTCTTCATTGTGATGAGGGTTTTCTCTCTCTCCCAACCTTACAGGCCGTGAGTTCCAGATTCCCACCACCCTCTGGGTGAAAAAGGCTGTTCCTCAAACACCCTCCGAACCTCTTGCCCCTTCCCTTCAATCTTATGCCCCCCTCCCCGCGTTATTGATCCCTCCACTAATGGAAAAGGTTTTCTTTGCCCCTCTCATCACTGTATGCATTTCAATCAGGTGCCCCCCCCCACCCACTTCCTCTGCTCTGAAGAAAACTCCACTCTGTCCAGTCCACTCTTCATAACTATAGGCGCTATATCAATGCAAATCCGGGTCTTCCTTTCAAAGTCCCACAAAGTTGTACTTTTGTTACCCCCCCCCCCCAACCCGCAGAAGAATGCAGATGTTTAGATATAAAGCACAGCGGCCTGAAAGGGGTGGGTTAATGTGTTAGACTGTGATTTGAAGGTGTAAATGTTGCTCTCTGAGGGAATGTGTTGCAGGTAGAGGTGTGGATTTTGAGAGGGTTTCTTTATTCCGTGCAGGGAATGCTCTCGCTTCGCTGGCGGCTCAGGAACGGCCGGGATTTGAACCTGTGGCTGTTGACGTGACGCCGTGTGGACGGCGGTGGGGAAGAGTGGGTGGCGGAAGCGGACCGTCGCCAATGCTCTGCTTACACTTGTCGGTGGCCGGGTCCCGGGGAACTGCTGCCAACCGGACTCTCCCTGCCCATGGCACCGGGCACAGAACGGCGGCGCTAGGACGAATGAGCAGCCCGAGTCGCCGTACACTGAGCGGCGGAGACCCGGCGGAGCGCTCGGAAACTCCCGGGGCGGACAGGGAGCGAGCGCCGATGAGGAGAGAGGGAGATTCTCGCCGGATTAACGCCGGCGGGGCGGAAACTCGGGCGGGAGAGTCCCCCGCCGACTTTTCCGGCTATGAGACCGCCGTGGGTTCGGAAATTTACGAAAGTTTCAGCGACAGCGACAAAGTGGGGTCCGCCGGACAGGCGGCTGCGTTACGCCTTTCCTCTGGTTCGCAACTGGAGCGTAAGGTCGGCGGAGAGAGGCTGGACGGAAAGCCGGGCGGAGGGGAGGGTGACTACGCCGAAGTGTGGTCGGAATTGGCGGCGGGAGGTGGCGACGAGCTGCATTTTATTAGCACCCACCAGATCCAGCTGTATGAGCTGGACCATGACGGCTGTGAATTTGCGCTGGGATCTTCCTGTGCGCTGGAGGAGAGCAGCGCCGTGTATTCCTTGGTGGGCAGTAGTTCCCCGGAGAGCGACGCCTCGGAGGAAGGCTCCGTGACCCCTCAGGCTCCAAGTTACGCCGAAGAAGCGCCGCCGGAGGAAGCGCCGGGCCAGGAATCGGCGAGAGCCGGAGATGCCGCGGGGCAGGGGCGCACTGCCATCTCCGGCGGGCCCATCCACTTGTCGATCCGGGCCAGTTCGCGGGCGGTGGGCGAGGAGCGGCAAGCTTGCGCCGATGGAGGCTGGCGAGGGGATGGCGGCGCACGGAGAGCGGGGGTACCGGCGGAGAGAGCGGGAGCGGCGGAGCGCAGCCGCTGTAGTTCCAGCGCAGTGAGCGAACTGGACGAGGCGGATAAGGAAGTTCGCAGCTTAACCGCCCGGAGTTTCCGTAGCCTCGCGTGTGGGGGCGATGAGTATCTGGACACTTACTGCGCCGGTAATAGATCAACCGATTTGTCATCGTTGTCAGAGGGAAGTATCGGGTGTAGCCGCTGGGCACAGTATGTCGATGCACATTGTCGCAAATCAATGGGATTGACGGATCGCAGCGAATTTCCTGCCGAGTCAGCAAACCGGAGCGTTAGTGCCCCGGGTCAAGACACCGTGAGCCGCAATGGGCTAGAGGGAGGTCCAGGGGAACGATCCCCGGAGGGAGAGGGGCCGCAACCCGCCAGCGCCACGCAGGAAAACTCGGCGCAGTGCTCGGCCAGCCAAGGGCGGAGCGGAGAAGCGGCGCAACTCGGCTCCAGGGTCATCACGTTAACGGAGACCGTGAAGCTCAGCTACGACCCAGAGGAGCGGCAGCGTCAGCTCCGGGGAAATTCGGGCGCCGATAGCCCGAGCGAAGAGTCGGCGGCCGGGGGAGGCGGCCAGGAACGGCGCAGGAGCGGCGCAGAGATGGCGAGGCCGCAGCGCAAGTCGAAGCTGGCGTCTAGCTTGCTGCAGAACATCATCTGGAAGCGAATGCAGTTCGAGCAGGAGCTCCGTATGGAGCGGGGGGAGATCAGCGACACCTCTTCCCCGGGGCGCTGGAGCCCTCCACCTGAGGCACCCCGAGCACCGGAGCCAGGCCATTCAGCCCGAGGGAACCCGTTCGCCAGCCAGCGCAGTGCTTTCCGGGCCTGGGCAGACGGAGCCGATCATTCCGCCAAAGCGGGGCAGAGCATCCGAGCAGAAATTGGAACGCAAGCCCAGGGCAAAGCCACCAAAATGTCCCACCTCTTCGTGCCCGGGATCCAGAGGGCACCGACTGGCACCGGACCCAGGAAAGCCGCCCCCCAACACCCCCAGGGCCGTCTGCCCCCTAAAGAGGCAGCGGAAGATAAGAGCGTCGCCGTCCGCTCGCCAGAAATCCGAATCAAAGTGAGGAGCCGCTACAGCCCGGGACCGGAGGCGGGTCCTGAGGCTCGGTGCCAGGTGCTGTTGGCAGACGCTGGGCACGGGGTTGGGGGCAGGGCCAGGGCTCAGCATTTCACCGTCAGGGACATCCGCGACAACATCCAGAGGATCCAGGCTCCGCTCCACCGGGTCCGTGACGTGCGCAAACTTCTCAAGAGCTCCTATCACATCGTTACGGTGCATGGTGGCACGGTGCCCCGGGAAGAGAGCGCACCGGCCCCTGCTAACCACACCAGCCCCTCTCTGCCCATTGTCATCAAGTGCCAGGCGGTGAGTAAAGGGCGGCTCCCCGGCAACTGGAAGTCCCACGACCGGCCCAGTGGCGGAGGCGGGAGCCCGGAGAACGCAGTGACCGACAGCCCGGTCCCACAAGCGGCAAGCCCCGAGCCCCCGGACACCGCAATGATCACCGGCTCCAGCTCGATGCCCAGAACCCGTCTCCCCATCACCGGCCCCGGGAGAGCGGCGGCGAGCCCTCCCGCCACTGGAGGGGCGGCCCCGGGACCGGACAAGGCGCTCGGTACCGGCTGCCCGGCCGAAGCGAGTAAGCGTCTGGCGCTGGAGAAGTTGACGGCGGCCGTGAAGAGTATGGAGCAGCTGTACGTCTTCGACCGGAATGAGTGGAAGCGCAAGACCGATGCGGCTCCCGGTACCGGGGCTCTGGCCGGGAGTCACGTCTTGTCCTTAATCGCCAGCGAAGAGGCATCGAGCTCCGACCGGGAGGCACCGGCGGCCGCTCGGGCTCCCGATCCCACTCGCAAAGCCGAACCGTCCGCTGCCGCTGGTGTCCCCAAGGCCCCCGGAGCCGCCAACAAGTGCACGGTCCCGCAGCTCTTCACCGTGGCCCCGGTGAGCCAAGCCGCCGCCGCCAGGAGAGAGTTCAAACCGGTGGCCGCTGTCAGATCCCCGCCGGTACAGCCTGAAGTGCGCTCGGTACGGGCTCCCCGCCGCCCGTCGCTGGAGGAGACCGAGAAACCGGCGCAAAGTGCGGCGGACGGCAGGAGCGGCGCCCCGGCTCAGCCACAAGCCCCGCCGGCGGAGTTTGAGAACTACCTGACCATCCCGATCAAGCAGCCCCCTGCCCCAGCGCCTCCCGCCGCCTATTCCGTGACCCCCGGCCGCCTACACAGCCCGAGCCCCATACAGCAACGGGAACCGTCGCCCGCCACCATTTACCACCAGCCTCCGTCCCAGAGACTCAGCATCAATCCTGCCGGGGTGCAGCCCCCAGAGCCGATCAGCCAGGCCAAGTTGGTGGAGAGCCCTCCGGTACCGTGTTTCCCGGCCCCGCACACACAGCGCAAGATGTTACTGGACCCCGCCACCGGCCAGTACTACCTGGTGGACACGCCGGTACAGCCGGCTCGCAAGCGGCTCTATGACCCAGAGACCGGGCAGTATGTCGATGTACCCATGACTCAACAGACCATGGCACCAGTGTCCGTGCCCATCTCGCCCATTGCAATCAACCCTGGCGCCTATGGCACCACCTACATGCTGTACCCTGGGTTTCTGCCCACGCCAGCCGTGCTGCCCCCTGTACAGGGCCAGCTGCCCCGGGCCGACAGCGAGTGCAATGACACTGTGAAGCCCCCCAGTGCGATCAGCCAGCCCGGGGAAGCCCAATACGCGGAGAGCCCCTATTACTTCCCAACTGGCAGGTCCCTGAATCCCACACAGTCTCTGACCTCTCAGCATATAACCAGAGCTACCAAGGGCTTCCCAGACGGCAAACCAGTCATCAGCATCACCTCTCAGCCTGGGCCAAGAATCATAGCACCGCCGTCCTTTGACGGAACTACCATGAGTTTTATCGTGGAGCACAGATGAAAGTCCTGGAATACTGCGTGTAAGTATACATCTGCACTGACAGTCAGCACTGGCTGCCCGTTGAGCCAGATTTAATCATGCAGCCATGTGGGAAATAGCAGTAAACTCAAAACCTTCAGCAGTTTGATTAACGCTTATTAACGAGCAGGGTAGCCTGGTTCTTATGTTTATATAAAACAAAAAGAAAATGCAGATCGGAAATAGAAACAGAAATTGCTGGAGAAATTTAAATTCCCCAAATGCTAAGGAAATCACTATTGGGATCATTTGTTCAGACCTCTGGATTACTAAACCAATAACTATAAAAGTTAAAACAGAAACTGCTGGCAAAAATTAGCACGTCTGGCAGCATCTGTGCAGAGAGAAACAGTTAACGTTTCCAGTTCAGTGACCCTTCGTCAGAGCTCTGGTCTCCCTCCGAAGATGTTGCCAGACCTGCTGAAATTTTCCAGCAGTTTCTGTTTTAGTTTTTACAGTTATCAGTTTAGTAACCCGAAGGACTGAATAGTGAGTTCCACTCCCACCTTGACAGTTGGGGAGTTTAAATTACTATACATGATTGAGTAAATAAGGAATAAGATCCATGAAATACCAGATTGTAGCAGGAACCCATCTGGCTCACTAATGTCCTTTAGGGAAGGAAACTGCCATCCTCACCTGGTCTGGCCTACATGTGACTCCAGACCCACAGCAATGTGATTGACTCTTAACTGCCCTTTGAAATGGCCAAGCAAGTTACTTCAGGCAGCTACTTGAATGAATAAAAAAAACTTTGTTTAATGAAAATCATTGCAATATGTTACCCCCATGAATTATGTAATGTAGGAAAATGAGTAGATTATTGAACTCCTTGAGTACCTTCAATGGTCTGTTCAATTACATCTCAACTCCACCAGCCTGTCCTGCTTCTGTATGCTTGGTACCCTCACTATACATTAATCTACAGATACAGAAGTTGCTGGAAAAGCCCAGCAGGTCTGGCAGCATCTGTCAAGAGAAAATCAGAGTACTCTACTGAGCTTTTCCAGCAACTTTTGTTTTTGTTCCAAATTTACAGCATCCGCAGTTCTTTCGGTTTTTATTAATCTACAGATCTGTTTTGAAAAATTTCAGTTTACCCCCAGGTTAAGGAGAAATGGTTTCACATTTCCAATCCCCTAAAGGAATGCTTTTGGGATAGTCCTCCCTCTAACTCTACCTCCAGAGAAAGCAGTTCCCTCATTATCTACCAGACCTAACTCTTCAATCATCATGTGGAGGCACCGGTGTTGGACTGGGGTGAACAAAGTCAGAAGTCACACAACATCAGGTTACAGTCCAATACATTTATTTGAAAACACAAACTTCTGGTGCACAGCCCCTTCACCTGATGAAGGAGCTGTGCTATGAAAGCTTGTGCTTTCAAATAAACCTGCTGAACTGTAACCTGGTGTCGTGTGACTTCTACTTTCTTCAGTCATCGCGATTGGATCACTCCCCAATGCATCATCTTTGAAGAAGTGCAATATATTTTACAAAGAATATAAGTTGTATTTTGTATCGTGATAATAATGGCTGACATATACAGGCTCCCTCATTATGCATGGACAAACAGCTGCCCATTTTACCCTTCTCATTTCTCCTATTAACTTGTTTTCCAGCCATCTGTCTTGTTTATGAAACTGTACCTGTTTGCTCGTGCACAGTTCCACTGTTGTTTTCCAGTACAGAACAGCAATGAACTAGTCTTCATTTGTGAACCTTGTCAGTGAGGCTATTTTCAAATCCTGTAAGTGAGCACAATACCAGATTGAAGTAATCATCTGATACCCACCTGCACTGGCACTCTGGTCAGTGCCATCTTTAGTCAGTGCTGAGACAGGAGTCCAGTAAGCATTTACTTTCAAGGGACAAATTGCATACTGTAGGATTTTGCAATTTTGAGGTAAAGGTGAATGGACAGTGTGACACACTGCTTATTTATATTGGCAATGTGGACCAACACTCCTTGAACATGAAGGCTATTGAAAAAGAGAACAGTCAAAGCATTGTTCCCTCTAAGCCATTAACAAAACCTAAATGATCCCACACACGTGTCCCACCAGTCAGCCACTTTAAGATCCCACGTAAAAAGATTTAAAGGATTTAAAGATTTAAAGCACCTAAACAAACGACCCACACACTCCAAAAGGAAATTAGAGGTTAGAAAATAATTTTAAACTTTATTTTTGAGAGACTAACAAGATCAGGAGCCAATTTCAACTGATAACCTGGCTTCAAGTGCCATTTTCACAACCGAAGAGTGGCCTGAACCTCCATAGTACCAACCCCAGCAACAGCAAACTCACCATCTGCAGATGGCTGGTTACACACCCCAAAATTAAACTTGCCTCAGTAATTGCAAATGACACATTTTTTACCACTGTGCCATCCCTCTGCTGAAATTTCCCATCCGTCATTAAAATATGGTTGAGTAGTGGGAGGTAAGCTTTGTACAGGTGAGGATGGGAGCAGAAAGTTATCCCTCCCCGATGGTGACATGGGTGAGATTTGAATCTCTCCCTAGAATCATATCCCTGGATATGACTGAAATGACTGCAGGCATTCTCACCTGCACGTATCTGGGCTGAATATCTCAAATAACTGATAATGTTGCTGCTCTGTCTTTAGTATATCATCCTTCTGTCACAGATCAAAAGTGAGTGAGGGTAAGAACCTGGGGGTAAGTACGAGGAGGTGGTGGCGAGGTGCAGATAGGGGCAAAAATTAAGAAAATGGGTGAAGAAGAGAACTTCCTTTTTATTGGTAGGATATGGACATTACTGGCTCGGCCAGCTTTTATTGCCCATCCTAATCCTAGTGAAGAGTCAATCATGTTGCTATGGATCTGAAGACACATGTATGCCAGACCAGGTAAGACCAGATTTCCTTCCCCTAAAAGGGATTAGTGAACCAGATGGGTTTTTCCCAACAATCACCAATGGATTCATCATTAGACTCTTAATTCCATTTTTCCTTTTAATTTAATTTAGCCATCTGCCATGGCAGGATTTGAACCCAGGTCCACAGAGAGTTACCTGGGTCTCAGGCATAACAGTCTAGCAATAATACCAATAGACCTTCCATTCTGTCAGGTCTCCAGCAAGCTGAATTTAGACGTTTTTAACAAGTTTTCTTAAAAAAAAACATGCTCATCCTTGCTTTTGCTAGGTTAATGGCTTAATGTTTTTTCTTCTCCTGTCGTAAAACCCCACAATATAAACAAACTTACATTAACACTTCTGGCATGTGCTGGCTTAAACCATCATTCAAAAAGATTGACCTTAGTTACTTATTAAACCCCTTCACAGCGAAAAAGACTAACATCCATTACCTTTCATAGTAACAGGAAGGTAAAGGTTTAAGAGAAACAAACAAATAGGGAGATTTGAGGTTTTTTAAACTGGATGGTTAAAAATTGTAACTTCCTACTTGAAGCCATCACTGAAGCAGCTTCCTAAATTACGTTGAAGTGGAATTCAGTAGTTTCCAAAACATGGCACCGTCAGTGAAATAAACTCATACTCCTCGCAGTAATGATTATCAAACAGTATCTGATAGTGAGACACATAAGTCAATATTAGGACAAATTGTCAAAAGCTTGGCCAAAGTGCTATATTGTAAGGAGTGTGTAAAAGGAGGAGTGAGAATTGGAGAGGTTTCGAGAGAGAATTCTGGACCTTAGGGCTCAGGCAGCACACGGCCACCGATGCTGGGGAGATTAAAACAGGAGATGTTCAAGAAGCCAGAATTATAAGACTACAAATATCTCAGAGGGTGGTGGGGTTGCAGATGGCAGTGCTAGGGAGTGATGCAACACCCCATGGTGATTTGAAAACCAAATTAAGAGTTTTACATTTAAGACAGTCCTTAACTGGGAGCCGCTGTAGATCAGCAAGCTCAGTGATGATGGGTGAACAAGACTTGGTGCAATTAAGAACAAGGGTAGCAGAATTTTAGATGACCCTCAAGTTTACAGAACTGTTATGTGTGAGCCCAACCAGGACAGTGTTGGAACAGTCAAGTGTGGAGGTGACCAAGGAATGAATGAGGATTTCAGCAGCAGATAAGCTGAGACAGCGGTAGAGTTGATGTAGTGGAGGTGAAAAAAGGAGTTATGAGTGATGCTAAATATATAATAGGAATTGCATACATCCAACCACTGCACAGATGTCACAATACTTTGGTGAACAATCTTTGCACATCGTTAGAAATTATAATTTTCAGCTTAGCATATAGTGAGTCTGAAGATTTGCTGTTTTACAAAGGCAGGAATATTGTACCAGGAAATACACAATGTATTAACTGTAGGTAACTCATCATTCCTGGTCAATCATCATCCACAATGAAAGGAGCGTTTTTGTGTGAAGCAAGATAGCCATGGTGCACAAAAAGCAAAATTCTATGGTGCTAAAAGTGTGAAAGAACATCTGGAAATACAAGGCAACATCAAGCATCTCAAGAGTGAATATTTCAGGATGAGGAGCTTATGTGTCCGAATTGGGCAGAGTTTGAGAGCTAACAGTTTCTAAACAATCAGAGTCAGTGTTACAGTGGTGTGATGTTGACTAAAACGACCTGTCCATTTAATTCCCAATTACTTGAGAAGTAGTTATATTTAACCATATCAAAGTAGAGGTCTACAAGTTTGTATATTCATGGTTGTACATTGGAAATAAAGTATTACATTTGCAAGAGTCCAACGATGACAACTTCTGAAAAAAAGGGCTGATCTTTCAGTAATTTCCCTCCATTTGTTAGCAGTTTTAGAGCTGTAACATCTGAAATGTGAATCTTCTAAAGCTTTTATATTTATACAATATAGATTGATGCAATTTTATCTGCTTTAATTGGCTATAAAGTCATGGTTTTGTTTGTACTAAGATTGCTTATTTTACCCACTAATGGTGCATCATAGAAAATATCAGAGAGTGTTTTGTTTGTAACTAATTTAAGATGGTGGCATTTACTATAAATGATCTAAAGAGAGAGTCAAAGTTG